GCGTGTGTGCCTTGCTGGTAAAGCCGTGCTTGGTCTTGAGGAAGAGGAGGAGAGTTTCTTTCTCGGCTCTGTGACATCTGATGCTGATCCATGGACTGTTGATATAGACGTTATGGACAAAACTTTCACTTTCAAACTTGACACCGGAGCAGATGTCACTGTTGTGTCACAGTCTGTTTTTAAGAGCATTTTTTCCAATGCACAGCAGCCTATGCTCCAGAAGGCAGAGAAGCCTTTACTTGGTCCAGGATGGATTCTCAGATGTGTTGGGGTTCACTAGACTGCTGCTGAGGATAGGCGCCAAGCAAACCATGGCAAAGGTCTATGTGGTCAAAAACTTGAGCATGCCATTGCTCAGGTTGCCAGCCGTAGTGGCCCTTACTCATTCGTGTTGACAGCATAGACATGGCGACCCTAAAGTCAAGCTACCCCAAGCTATGCAGTGGCCTAGGGGAGGTACAACGTTATGAGATAGAAAGTCGAAATTATGAGACTCAAAGTTATGAGACAGAAAGTTATGAGATAAAAAGTTAAAGATGGATAGAAAGTCTCGAACATGAAGGATAGCAGAATCTATAACTGTAGGATGGTCTTAAAATGCTAAACATTATTAGCCTTGCAGATCTCTCCTGAACGCTTAGTCACTTGAAAAGAAGGATTTCACATCCTGCTTCGCTCTTCACGTCCCGCTAGCTTTCTCTGGAGTACAGTGCCTTCTAGTGGCTTTAGTGGCAACATCATTGTTCCCACTAGGTCAGTCACTTATAAAACTATTGCTGGAATAAACAAGTGTGCTCACTTTAAAACATATTGGCTGTGCATGAAAACAAAATACATAACACACATGTGACAACACATTGGTGGGCATCACACTCACAACATGTTATCTTTGTGCTAATCATCATATGGGCCTTGACAGGTTGCACGCTCCAGTCTGACACATGAAAGTGCTCGCTATTCCCACTCCAGCGACAGCGATGCCAACAAACACTCCTGCTTTCAGTAGACCTTTGGCACAGCGAAACCACCAACGTGTGGTCTGAGTCTCAGCAGCTGGAGCCGGCAAGACGCTCCCTTCAGACTTGACATCATTGTCATGCTGAGCCCCCTTTAGATCCTGCTCAAGGTCATTGATTTTGGCCGACTTGACATCATTATGCCGCTCAAGGTCATTAATTTGGACCGACTTGATATCATTATGCCGCTCAAGGTCATTAATTTGGGCCGACTTGACATTATTGTCTTCCTTAGCCCCCTTTAGATCCTGCTCAAGGTCATTCATTTGGGCCGACTTGATATCATTACGCCGCTCAAGATCATTAATTTGGACCGACTTGATATCATTGTCATGCTGAGCCCCCTTTAGATCCTGCTCAAGGTTATTCATTTGGACCGACTTGATATCATTACGCCGATCAAGGTCATTAATTTGGACCGACTTGATATCATTGTCATGCTGAGCCCCCTTTAGATCCTGCTCAATGTCATTAATTCGGGCCAAACTAACATAATTGTCCTGCTGATTCACCCTTTGACGTTCCCTAAATTCATTAATTTGTGCCTGATTCATATTTATCTTTCCTCCTCCTTCCATCACAGAGCAGTGGAGAGGTAGAAATTGTGGTAGATTTGTGAGCATGTTGACAAGACTACAAGTGAGACAACAAGGGCCAGCAACACAAACTACTGCGTGCCACCTCTCAGGGACATGTGGCTGCTCCTGAGATAGTTGACCTAGATCCCGCTGAGGAGAGAGGCTTCTCAGGTGTGTTACATCATTTAAACATTACATCATTTATTGCAATAAATTGTTGCTCTCTACACATCAATTCATCCAGTATTAATTGGAATAATTTAAAAACTCTTTTTAGATTGGAAAATTCTTTCAAATCCCAGTGAGGCAGCAAAGAGATTTAAAAGAAGACATTTTAAGCCAGCATGCAACTGGAAAATCATTCTATCTTACCATGGATCTTGGAGACAGTGCAGAGGACCTTTCTTTTTATAAGATGGCTAATGTTGAGTGGACTTGCCCCTTGACATGCACACTCGAGGGTAAATTGGTTACACACGCAAAACTAAAGATAAAAAATGATCATATATTCATTTAAATAATGAATAAAGTTTATATCTATCTAAATATTGACTTTTCTTTTTTGGAAGCGTCTCCAAGCATCCTTGGGAAACTCGTGCAGTTGTGGATAGGATGGGATGTGCTTCCCAGACACCAGCTGGATGTTAACGTGGTGGAGCTGAAACTTCCAGGACATTACAAAGACTACCGTAACTTTGAAAGAGACATTCTTGCTGCTATTTGTAGCACTGACACTGGGTTTGGATTGGTCTAGGGAGACTGTACATCAATATATCACTCTGTACACTTTAGTAATCGTGTAGCATTTGTTGTCTTGCTTGGCCAGCCAAAATATTGAATTACAGTATAAAAGCAGTTGAATGAGTGATGTAAACTAGTACCTAGTTCTGTTAGTGTGTGACACTCACAGACACAATGTGGTGATGCATATTTGTCTTCAACCATTGTCTTGTAGGTTTGATCCCATTCTTCCGCGTGCAGAGCAGAGAGATGCATTTCGTTGTCGGGATTGAGAAGGCCTCCTCTCTCAAGGGTGGTAAAGATGGTGTAGAAGAGATCAAGTACGCCGCCATGAACGTCTCTCCAGAGCCTTTCTATTCTGATGGGGAAAATAAATATTTAGTCATCCTACAATGACAGTTTATTACAAATATTTGTGTTCATCGCTTAAAAGGATAAGTTGACTGCCTGACACTTTAAATTAACTTTAGCAAAGCTCTTCAGACTTCACAATAGAAATAAACCTCTTCAATCCATATTTACAGTTTAATAATCAAACTGATTCAACATTAAGTTCAACAGGATTCTTCTGTAATGTGACACTGTGGGACATCCACTAAATGGAAGTCTGAATCATTTCATTCTTTTTTTGGGGACAAAACTATTTCAAATGTAAAACATTCGGTGTCCTAATTATGCTTTTGTTAATATAGCAGGGCATGTTTAGATTATATAATGTGCTTATATAAGGTGCTTTATTACTCAAACTATAACAAATGCTTTGCCTGTTTACATTCATTTGTATATTGAATATGGGTTTTGTTTTCTGTGTTTCTTTTCTATTTAAAGGTTTTTTACCTAAACTAAACTACACTACACTGAGTGGCTTAGTGAACAAACTACTATGCTGAACCTACCAAAATAAAAGGAGGAAAAAGAAAAGTTGTTTGGTCATTGAGTGAAATCCAGTTAGAAATCCTTCGGGTAGACTCATCGGTCCTTCTCAAGTGGGGAAAGTGCACATGTTAACAACATAACTTGACACTGAGACAGAGACTGACTTTGCTAAAATAGTAAATAACTGAAGGAAACTACCTGACTGAGATGTCACATAGTGATACACATCTTAGTGTTGATGTTGAAGTTTGGGTGGGACGTTCTTCCTCTTGATGCAAGGGAAGGCAAGGCAAGGTTTATTTGTATAGCACATTTCAACAAGGCAATTCAAAGTGCTTCACAGAAAAACATTAAAAGCATCAAAACATAAAGCAAAGCCTTACTGCCCGAAGCAGTAGGCTTACTTTTGAAAGTCTGTCTTGTGAAAAACATTTGAGAAGGAAAGAAACGAATCAGCATGAACAAATGCAAATGAAGTCTCAACCGCAAGTTCCCCATTTAAAGTCTGACTATTTTCGTCTCTTTTTGTGTGTCTACTTTTCTCCCATTCTTGTCCTTCCTGCTGCATCCTTTGGAGATTTGCTAGAATTTTATGACTCATCCTACCCTCACTCTTGCTTCTACAGAAATATAAATGTGTGACGTGGCAGTCGCTAACAGGATGTCGTGCTCAACTATCAGATGTTCGTTTGGATATCACCAGTCTACAACTTTCCTCTTGATCCATGCTGCTCGCTGTCACGCCAACTTATATTGAGAGGGGAAAAAATGAAAACATTCTCGAGTCAAACTTTCTGTAACTCAATGGTAATAAAACTGAAGTCATTTTATTTGGACCACAGCATTTGACCAACATTATATCTTCTCATCTCGGCCCTTTGACCTCTTCTGTTTAACCATTCAAATCAGGATTTAAGTGTGACAATTAAATCAATGAGGTAGGCAAATTAGGCTTAATGTTCAATAAGAATGAACCAAACATCTTTATTTTTTCAATTGTCATTTATTGCCTCGTGATCAACACATGCTCACTCTTCCATGTAGGTATGTTTAGTTCTTAAATGACACAAAGATAACAAGTAAATACATGATGTATACAACTAATGTAAATTAACCATAAACATGAAATATCAGATGAAATAATCAGAATTAAATACATCTGTATCAATAACCTAATTGACAAAAAGGTAAATATTGCTATTCAGTGGTGGATAGAGATCCTTTACGTTTTTTACTTAAAGTACGGGGATTAGAGGAGTAAACAGTGGATAACCTGTAACATCTTCCATCTGAAATTTAGAATTTTAGGATTATATCACAAAGGGAAAGAGTAATGTGCAATTACTTTAAAAAATGCATGTAAATAACCTGTTTCTATGTGTTATTCCTCCAGTATCAGTGAGGGGAGACATACTAAAGCCCCCTGCTGTAAAACACAGGTTTTTGTTTCTGTTTGGTCCTCATAGGATGAAAGAAATGCTACTTGGGGGATCATTAACAGTCAAATGCACGTGTTTAATATCATTTTTAGACAATTAAAACTGTTGAAGAAAAATAAGTAAGACTGTGAAACATAAATTTGAAGTAAGCTAACTAATACTTCATTGAAGTGGGAAAAAACAGGTTGTTAGCCAAAAACAATAATTGACCGGAGATTATGATTTTACGTGCACTCACGCTCAATACAATACGCCATAAACCATTTATGACGTATTATACAAACCATTCATGACGGCTTATATTAAGCGTGAGTGAGTTACCAGTCGGGACCTCCATAACTTCCCCTCAGTGAAGACGGAACTAACGTGACGGTCATGTGATTCCAGTCAGGACATGATTAGCGACCGCACTGTTTACCTTTCGCTACAGTCAGAGACAGCAGAGGAATGCCAGACTCTCTCTCATAATGTACTCTCACGGCTCGGAAAGTTTAATCAAACAGGCAAGGTAAGGAAAGACATCAAAGAAGAACTTCCTCCGCCACCTTCAGTTCCTCTCTTCAGCTGCTTTACACTCGTCGAGTTACCATTTCCTCTTCTAAGCTAACAATGCTAAAGCTAGTAGCCTGTCAAAACCCCACTACGCTTTGTCATATTACTTAAACTTGTAACGTTTTCGTTCATTTAGAGTTAATTTAACAGCTGTTTATCACCAGTAGGACTGCTAACAATTATTTCTGTTATTGCGTCGATGTTTTTGTTACTATTTAAACGTAATTTACTGTAAATTGTTTTGTTTAAAACCGTTGCTTTCGTGTCAAAGGGTTGATTAGTGATCAAATATGGAGTTGATTAATGTGTGAATAATTAGGTGGTGAAATATTTAAACAGTACGCCTAGAAGGACTTTTCAGAGGCAAAACCAGGTGCTCTGTGTGTCGTTTCCAGAGAGATTCAGGAGTCTGAGCTGCAGAAGTTTCACAGCAGATTAGTGAAGCTGCTCCAGGGGAAGGAGCTCGGCCATGAGGCTGTCGACTCCCTGCAGAGGCTGCACCTCATCCTCTCTGCTACCAAGTACACCAGGACGTAAGGGCTCCCACCGACACCTGCCATGCACCATGCACGATCCCTCTGTCCGGTCCCCTTCCTGTCCTCATTCCTTTCAACCTGCTCCATTATCCAACTCCTTCCTTCCTTCACTCCCTCATCCTCCCTCTCCCCCTTTTACTGTCTGTGGTGATCTCACCTGCCCTCTCAGTCAGAAAACACAAACTGACACAATGTTGAGCTTCAACTTCCCCAGTCATCAATCTTCTATTCCAGCTCCAAACTCTTTAATACTCAGTGTGAGCTTTGATTCATAACGTATCTGCCGCACGTCTCCTCTGTTATCACTGACCAAAGGTTGCCCCCAGAGCTTCAGAAGAGACTTCAATCCCTCCTCTCCTCACCTGCGGAGCAGTTTCAGGTGCTGAGCTCAGCTGTGCTTAGAGAGACACTGCCCCTCTCTGGTCAGGAAGCGAACTACAACCAGGAGAACTTCACTCAGCTCAACAGTCATGCTGCTGCCCTGCTGCTCTCACAGGTGTGCAGTAATGTGTGTTTTTTTTTAAAATTTATTTTGAGAAATATATGAGATGACCTAAACACTGTCCTGCAAACTTAAACCCCCAACAGGCTGGATCCAGGGCTGATGTGTCGTCACTCTGCGTTCATCTCCTCCGCAGTCTGGACAGCCGACAGTCGGAGGGGCCAGCCAACTCGCTCACACACACCCTGCCGATCCTCAACAGCGTGCTCACACACAGCCCAGAGTGCCTCACTGCAGGTAGCAGACAGAGAGTGGGGCAAAGTTGAAATAGAAAATGTAAAAGACATCCAATCAGTGATCGAGCGAATTCCACATGCACACAAATCAGCGTCCTTTGTCCTTCCCTCCACCTGACTTACAGATCACGTGACCCTCCTGAGTAAAAAGCTTGTGGATTGGTTGCGTTACGCGAGCATCACTCAGGGAGGCGGTGCTCCCTCAGGAGGGTTCTTCACGGGGCCCAGGTCACGTCAGGTACGCAATCTACTTTCATATTCACTCTTTCACTAATGTAGAAAGTGGAGAAAATAACTTTGTGTTTTTCTATCAGCCGGTACCGACAGCAGAGCTGGATGGGACGGTGTCGGGGGATTTCTTCACTGTGCTGTGTGTGGGCCAGAGCTTCACTGAGGACCAGTGGATGAACGTCTACTCCTTTTCCATGCTCCGCCATTGGCTCCTCACCTACCACTCTGTTTCCAACGGCAACAATACAGCTGACACTGGTATGACCTTTCCCGCCAACAATAACAACCACACAACCATTTGCCTCCCCATGCTATAGAGGCTCATTGCTTCATGTCACAGCTACAGAGAACATGCAAGGAACAGCAGTCTCAAAGTACCTTTCATACCACTCGTCTCCGATGTCCTGCTCTGTGTTGTCATCATCTCCAGCAAACAGGCTGCAGCTCAGCCTCTCCCACTCCTTTTCTAATGGTAAGACGCGCGAGGTTCATGGACCGCCCTGCATGCGCGTGCCTCTAAGAAGCTGCACAGAAACTAAACTCTTTTAACTTTGGGGGTTCAACTCACGACCCTCGAAATAACTCACTCGATCTAACAAACCGCCCTGATCTGTGACTTCTTAACTACACTTTCACCTTTTACTCTTCCTCTAATCTCCATGGATGAATCACAGCGACGAATGACTAATAAACTGCTCTAACAATGGCCGCATTCAGATTCTCTTTCATATTTCTATACTTAAAATACTCTATACTATACATTTGTTGTAGGTCTTCAATCTTCATTAATAATTCAATCAAAGTACAGTGTGTGCATATAGATATCTAATTTATATCAATGATTAACCTAACTGTCTTTAAACCTTTCTAATCATCTCTGATCTAAACCCCAACAGCCAGCTTAATCCTAAAGGTTTAAGTTTAACGGTGCCCGGTGGAGTTTCTGGTTAAATTACTAAAAGTGCCACTAAATCACGTAGTTCTGGCGGCTAAAATGAGAAGTCCCTCTTGATTGAAGTTTTTTTGTTTTCTGTAAATCAAGGCAAGGTTGTGATTTACATTAAAAAAAACAAAAAAAAACTTTCGAATCATTATAACTCCTGTTCTCCGTTCGGCAACAAGCAGTTTGAAAGTACACCACGATGACGATAAATCCTCTTTTCTGTCAGAATGGTTTTGAGTCGTGACCTCTCACCTCTGACCTCCCGTCTTGCAGATGACCGGTCGGAGGTGGACGGGTCAGTGGTTTCCATGGTTTCAGCGACCTCCTCCTCCAGCCGCCTGCTGCCTCCAAAGGAGCGTCTGAGAGAGAAGGCCTTCCAGTACTGCCAACGCCTCATCGAGCAGAGCGATCGCAGTGAGTGTGCGCCCGTTAAACTGTGTTGTGTGTGTGTGTGTGTGTGTGTGTGTGTCTGTGTGTGTGTGTGTGGGAGAGAGAAAAGTAGGTTGCGTAGTTGTAAATCCAGATTTTGAATCAAAAGCTTATGGGTAAGGTTGTCTTGTATTCTTTTGTGTCAGTACGTTATAGTTTACTCAGTGTAAGTGTGAACTGATGTAATGTTTGTTCTTCTTTTTGTCTCAGAGGCACACAAAAGGACGGATACAGACCTGCAGAAGGCGGTGAGTCTGTGTTCTGGTTCTGTTTCTGGTACAATCAAGCCTCCACCTCAGCGTCACACGTGTCCTCTTCGTCACTGCACAGCTACACATGTAACGGCTGAATACATTTCATCTAATCTATCCGCGAGCAGAAAGCTATTGTGGGGAAATGTAGGAAATAATGTCAAAAATAGAGAAAAAAGATCAGACTTCTTGAAGAGTGATCGACACAGACTTCGCATCTTTCCAACAACATTGGAACCAGGACTTTATACTGGTGCCTTTTAATACGTCGGTCCTGTTCCCTCTCTTAGTGTCTGGTGGAGGCGGTGTGTATCCTCGACTGTGTGTGTGGGGAGGACGCCTCACTGGTCTTCCGAACGTTCCCGTGCATCAAGGCGCTCTTTGGTCGGCTCAGCTCAGACCTGTCGTTCGCCAGAGTGCTGCTGCCCATAGCTCAGTTCTACCTCAACCATGGTGTGTGTTCATATCCAATCGCATCAATACACAAGCACGAGTATGGAGTCGTGCATATAAGTTCTTTCACGTCGACGGTTCGGCAGCTTGATTCACTAACAACAGAAGCATTTTCATTTTAAAACTGTGTACTTGAACATGTCCAGGCGAGATGGCTGCGGTGGATTGTGAGAGTGTGTGGACGCTGGTGTTCGGACGGTTCCCCGCTGAGCTGTTCAACGACCCATTCCTGGCACACGAGTTTCTACGCTTCCTTCGACTGAACCTTGAGAGCCTACAGCTCCGAGTCCCACAGTACTCCCACTCCTTCCCAAACCTGCTGAAGGTAAAAACCTGAGAAAACGCATCCACGCAGAGATGTAGAGATGTTTCTGACTGTTTTATACTCTACGCATGCCTTCTGCAGGCTGGTGAGGAGCACATGTCACACCACGTGAGGGATACACAAGCCTTCTGCTCTTTGTCTGTCTGTTGCTAATAGTTCTTAGCGTGGGACAGCCCGGCCGTGGTGGACGACTTTGTGGATCTGCTGCCTTCTCTGGTGACAGCTGGAACTGCAGTGGAGCTTCTCCACACTCTGCTGGACCTGCCCTGTCTCTCTGCCACGCTGGTCTTACAAGTCAGGTGCAGCCACACATCAGAGCAAAACTACCTAACAGACTGATTTTACTATGTACCACCATCTTTACTGTGTGTGTGCGCATGTGTGCTGCAGGTCAACTTGTTTGCCCATCTCTGAGCCGGCGGGGCGTGGCCTCCTGTCACTTGATGCATTTAGAAACCAATCTTTCCGAGGGCTTTTCCTCTTCCTGCTTCGAGGGGAGGCGGGCTCAGGTGTATATCAATAGTTTGACATTTTGGGAATTTCCTTTTTTTCCTCCTGATATAAGTTGTTAATCGGTGATCTTTTGAGGGGCAGATGTTGTTACCTTTGGACAGAGCCAGGCCAGCTGTCTCACCATCTTTATGCTAAGCTAGGCTAACCGGCTGCTGGTTGTAGCTTCATATGTACTGTAGACACAAATAAGCATATTTCCCTAAAATTCCGAACTATTCCTTTTAATTAAGAGACAGCGGTTTATGAAACATTTTTGAAATATTTGTATAATATTAGTGAATATTTATAACAAATTGCATGAATCCGATGCAGATAGCTATGACATCAGACAGTGTATTTTAATTCATATTGACTGTGTCTTTAAGACTGTCTATCACAACAGTGGCTGCAGGTAAACGTCTGTCTTTGCTCTTTTCTCTCTTGCTCCACAGGTGACACAATAGACCGACTGAGCACGCTCCACGAGCTGCTGGCTGAGACTGCTGATTGGCCGAGAGTCGTTCAGTGTGCACAGACTGTCCCCATGCTGTTGCACATTTTTTTCGACACAGTCATTGCGGTGAAGAGATTAAACGTTCAATTCATTCATTACAACTGCAACTACTGCACACTAAAATGCTTATGAAAACCATCTTATGCATGTGTAGGTAGCTGATGAGAAGCTGTTAGCCCACTTGGTTCAAGCGATGCTGGAGAGAAGCAGCCTCCTCCTCAACATCCCGAAATACAACAAAGAGATACACAGGTACACCAAAATGTACTCGGTAGAGCTAAAGTGTTACTCTGTCTGTCTTCACCCTGATCTCCTCACTTCCTCTTTTTCTGCAGGGTGTTCAGCTGCCACCTGCTGAGGATGTGCAAGCTCCACCCGTCTCTGGTAGTGGGCCAGTCTCACGAGCTGCTGGAGTTCGCTGGAGCCACAGCCAAGGTCTACAGCAAAGAGGAAGTCTACACACACGTGGTAAAGATACTGTATGTGTGTCTGTATAACACAGAGGGTGGCAGAGAGGAGGACCGTGCTGACTTGAGGATCATACTTTTTCCTTTGTGTATGTTCTGGATCCTTAAATATCAGCATCCTTTCCATTGTATTGGAATGTGTGTAAAATATCACAACAAATACAAAGTGCAACAAAAAGAAAGACGTTGACGGCGAGACAATATTGAACTTGTTTGGCGTTCAGGTGTGGGTGCTGGGAGAGTACCTCTCGGCGTCGTGTGACTCTCGCTGCTCCGTGAGGCTCATCACTTCCTGTTTTGAGACGTTGGAGGCGGTGCTGTTCGAGATCACGTCATCCGCCCCGCCCCCTGGAGCGGATTGCCCCGTCCCAAGAGTCGTCACCTCTCTAATGAGTGCTCTGGCTAAGCTGGCGTCACGATCGCATGACCTCATACCCAGGTGACAGCCACACACACACTTTTTAATATATTTTTACTCGTATAAGCACATGTAATGTCATGTAATTGTGTGTTTCTTTTCTATTTCAGGGTGTCTCTGTTCCTCTCCAAGCTAAGAACGGTAACCAGAGGGCGGCCAGTCGCCTGGTGCTCGGATGAAGAGGACCTTGTTGCCATAGTAACTCGAGGTGAGGAGTTGTGGTCGCTGCTGAAGGCTCCCGGTGTGGCTCAGAGCGTCCTGACCCCTCCCCCACCCGTCACCACACCCCAGTGGCACAGAGACTCCAACGTGGCCATGCCCCTGCGACTGCGGGCCCTCACCAACCTCACACACTCACAGTGACACACACACACACACACTGATATTCACACCACACATCATCATTTTGAATTCACACTTTAGAGATTCCCTCATGAAATGGACACGCTGATGAATCTGGTGTGAAATGTGCACATTGTTTTTGTTAATAAATGACATTATTTGATTGACACTTGATGTGATGAAACATTTTTTTGGCAATTACAAAATACACTGACCCCTCCCAGAGTAATATAGAGTCTCTTCTTTAATTCAGTGAAAATACAATTTTACAAAATAGATCATCTGATTTTAAAAAAAGCTCACTTCCTGAGTAAGTGCTCCACTTCTAGAGGTTCGGGAGAACCTGCAAGTGTGCTCTATGCAGTGGACGAAGAAGTACAAAAATGAAGACTGTAAAGAGAAACAATGGTGTATAACATGCCCATGTGTTAATTCTGTCAGATTTTAGGAAGTGTTCAAGGATAAGAGCCGCAATCATCGTCTTCTAAACGAGACAATCACTTTTTGTGAATGTAACATGTGACCCAGAACACAGTGTTACACTAGCTCTAGATTAGTGTAACTTTTTTTTATCTTTCAAATAACATGACAGTAAATTATGAGACTTGATTTTTAGGCGGATTCAAGACAAATGTAAATCACAACAGAATCACAAATGGACCAGTTATCCTCGACCGTCGACCTTTATCTGGAAGAAAAGCAGCTCAACTGTTAACTCGTATCGGTGCGTCACACAGCTGATACACGGTGACCGTAAGTCTGTCTGCAGGTTGCTTAATGCAGTCAAAGGCTGTGTTCGAAATATACTAACCTACAATTCATACTAAGTTCGACAACGTAGTTTGATATATGCAGTGCCTTCCAACTGCATAGTGTGTGGATTTTGTGATGGTGAGAAATGCCCACATGTGTACATGAGCAGAGTATGAGGCGTGAGCTTATTGGACACACTCAACCGCCCCAAAATGCATTGCGGCTCTTCAGACTGTTCGATGGCAGACTGCGAGGCAGACGGTTCACAAGATGAACCGTTGGATAAAATGATTACAAATGAAGGTTACAGTTGACGTGATGTACTGTAGAAAACATGTTTAACGCTAAAATATTTCATCATTTTAACTTGCCTTAATTAAAGGGCCAGTCCCCAGCATTTAGGGGGATGCAGTACTAAGTCAACCTAAGAGTGTATTTGTTTATGAAACCATTGGAAGCAAGGGTGCTGTGTTGAGTGCCAACTCTTATATTTTTATACTTTGCCACTGTGCAAAATGGACAAAACTAAAATAAAGTCGGGGTTAGCACCAGTGTAAAGGAATGCCTTTGGCTTAGGTATTAGCACATCTCTTATGGTTGGAATATGGAAATCAGTGCTGATGGTCAGATCATGTCGTCACCGTCCCTCCAGGTGTAGCCTCGTGAGTCCAGTTAGCTGTTGTCAAAACACAGTCTCGTGACTTGAATTTCCTTCTCTCAGTCAGCCGCGTGGCGTGGAACTGTGTGATGATCTCAGGTGAGAGCGGCTGGTCACCTCGATGTCTGCAGCAGTGGCCCGGGTAAGTACAGGTACCTCCAGATGGCGTAATAATGAATGCACGCTCCTGCTGCGACGAACAGATGCCAGATGGCGTGGGCGAACGGGACGAGGCCGTCGCTCTTAAAGAAGACCGTGCCCACCACATAGAAGACTCCTCCCACCGCCAGTTCACACACACCTGTATGCTCCACCTGTAACAGTTCAAACAGTCACATAAGTGAAGAGTCGAGTAAAGAATATAAAGTTCAAACAGATAAAGAGCATGTTTAGCTCAATTTTTTGCAATAGTAAAGCACAAATAAAATATATTTGTGCTTTACTATTGCAAAAAAGTTTTTAAAAATACATGTAATAATGATAAATATTAAAATTGTTAATACTTTGTGTTTTACATTTTTGCCAAATGTTTCCCAAAGAACACAGAATTTTTTGTTCAAATGTGAATTAATCTGCTGTAGAAAATAGTCCCCAACAAATCTGCTTCTCTCTTTACATCTGTTTCAATAAAGTTTGTAAAAAAACAAATTCAGAGCCCATCAGCTTTAGTAAATGATAATAACTATACAATTATATGTTTCTAATCCACTTTTAAAGATTTACATCTTCAGCAGGAATGAATAGGCTTGAGGATGAGAACCACAGACAAGGTAGAAAAGTATTAAGAGTCAGACTAAAGGTTTATTGATTTTGGTCTTTTCATGGGATTTGTAGACAAAAAGATTATAAAGAATAAATATAATTTCTGTCATATAATATATTACAATATAATAAAATCTTACCTGGGACAAAGTGAATCTAAAACATGCATTTTGTTACAGTAACTAGATGTGATTTGAAGGTAATGGGCTCAAACAAACCACCTGTTTGGTTCTTTAAATACTGAGTGTGTGATTCCAAAACAATAGCAGGAAGCCCGCTGCAGCGGAAGACGGCTCACAGCAGAAAGCTCTTTTTTTCCCCCCAGAAGCAGGTTTGTGTTTTGTGCTTACCATAGACAGGATGACCAAAGCAGGAACAACCCCCATGGCCACATATCCAAACAACTCGACCAGCTTGTACCTGCAGGTAGAAAACAGACGACGTGAAAACACTAACTAATCTTCTATGTAATTGTTTCTGCTTCAAACAGCAGCCCAGTGTTTGCTGTAAACACTCGGGGGACGGGAGTTTGGTCTCAGGTTAATTGTGTCAAACCGGGGACACGGGAGAGACGCAGAGGCAGGCTGTGTTACCTCTCGTGGAAGAAGAAGACGTACATGGATCCTACACAAGCCATGACCCATATCAGCCAGCGCATGTGGCACGTCCAGGGCCCCAGCTCCCTCAGCATCAACCTGAGGAGACACACAGCGGGGACGGTCACTATCTGAGCTGGGTATGTTATCCACGCAGACTGTGTGTGTAGCTCCTTGACCCACCAGGGAGAGTAGGAGGCCGCTATGAAGAAGTAGATGGCCATTCTGTCGCACATGTGGAAACGCTGCTCCAGCTTCCTACACACGGACAAAGACAGGGAGAGCTCGTTTATAAATCGAGACAACCTTTATGCAGTTTAATCCATAATCTCTAACGACACAGGACACAGTCTGCTAAAAAAAAAAAACACACATTCGTAAGGACAGGATTGAGTTACCTAGGGACTAAAGTTTGTTTCAGTACATGGCAGGTGTCACATTTTAGAAGACATATTTGGTTGTTGTGAAAACACACCCACATGCACAGAAGCAAACATCCCGTGACCCTGTCCTCCAACGTATAAAACAGGGCTTGTTGTGTCTTTTGGGACTACTATGTGTGACATGCCAGAGGAGTTATTTAAGAGTGTGTGTCTATTCCCCACATTCTTAGTTACATAATGTGAGTGTGCGTTTGACTGTTAATATGTGAGTGAATGCTTTTTGAGAGGGTGCGAGGTGAAGTTGATGTGAAGTATATTCATTACCACGCCACATCTGTCGTCTGCTCCCTGCCCTTCTGGCTCTGTCCTAATTAACAAACTGTATGTCTGAGTGTGATGTAAATGTCTACCGGAGCAGCACATAAACACACACATCTGCCAAATCCCTACCAGCGTTTTTCTGCTACACACACATACACACACACACACACACACACACACACCGGAGGTGGCTGATTTTCCAGGCAGCGGTGTGGAAGAGTGTTGAGGTGACAAACAGGCCGGTGAGACCGCTCCCATAGAGCCAGGCCGCCACACGATGCCATTGGTCCACAGACAGGAAGTAGAGCACAGAGCCGCCCACCAGACTGGGAAGGATCCACAACTGGAAAAGATCCGAAAGACACATTTTACTTGTGGGAGAATTATTCTGCATTTGTCCTAAAACATCTGTGTTCCTGACATGTGCTAACGTTGTTCTCTGTCTCTCTGAATCCAGAAGAAACAGCTGCAAACCTCTGCGGAAGAAATTGTTCAACATTTAGGGAAATTTGCTTATTTGCGTTCTTGCCGTGAGTTTGATGAGGAGATTGATAACTCTCTCGTGTCTTGTATGCTAGTTTATGAAGCTACCACCAGCAGCCGGTTAGCTTAGCTTAGCACAAAGACTAAGAAACAGCTAGCCTGGGATGTTATATTGTGTATGTTTAATCTGTACAAAAAACAAAGTGTAAAAAACATAAATTTGCTGTTTCGTAACATATCAGTAAGTGGATTTTGTTACCGTTGGACAGAACCAGGCTAACGTTAGCTTTTTCCAGGCTTGATGCTAAGCTAAGCTATCTGTCTGCTGGCTCTAGCTTCACATTTACCGTACACACATGAGACTGAGAGTGGGATCAATGTCCTCATCCAACCCAAAACATCAAACTACTCCTTTTACTGATTCTGTATCTAGCTACGGTGAAGATGATACTTGCCCTGCGAAATGTTTGCACTGTTTGAATGAATGAATGAAACAATGAATGAATGAATCAGAAAACCCCAGTGCATTTGAGGCTTTACAGTCATTACGGCCACGTTTTCTCTCTGTTTCCTTCCATGTCTGTCCGTCTGTTTCATTCACTTTCTGGCGGTTGGCGGAAGCGCACGGGGATTAAAGCAGATTAGAGAGAGCTACAGGCTGAATCACAGATTATAGCCTCTACGGCACGGCCCAAAATCCTCCATATTCCACCTCATTCCTCGCAATGCCCTCCATCTTTTCAGAGGCTGCTCTGAACTGACAGTCCAACCAAGCAGCCCGGGGACGGTGTGGGATCGGGCGAGTAAACCAGAAAAACTGAAGAAGAACTCACTTTTACTCTAAAAGTGTGTGTGTCTGTGTGTCTGTTTGGCTCACCCCATGTGTGGCACAGTTTGCAGCATGTTCATATTCAGTGGGCTGGTATCTCTTACTGGCTGGGACCCTGCAGTTCATGAACCTGAGAGAGAGGTGAGGGAGGAGAGTGAGAGAGAGACAGGAAGACGGGGGGGGGGGGGGGGGAATGCAGATCTAGAGGGCAAAACAAAGTTCTGCTTTATTAGTTAATAAGTTACTGTGAGCTGAACCCATGACGGCCAAAGGTGTGTGTGTGTGTGTGTGTGTGTGTGTAGATGTGTGTGTGTGTGTGTGTGAGTGTAGGTGTGTGTGTGTGTGTGTAGGTGTGTGTGTGTATGATGGTCATTCTTGAAGGATTTACAGGTCTCTAATCCACATCACGTTGTCTGAATTTTAGTGTGCCTCATCGTTGCTGGGGCAACTGTCCGCGTCGCTATGGTCACCAGTGATGTCAGTGGCTATACTGCAACAACAGGATACCACTGACCACTGACTATTAACTTTATTTGCATTATTTGTTTTGTTGCCACATACTACTGAGAAAGATACTTTGCGTGTGTGTGTGTGTGTCTGTGTGTGTGTGTGTGTGCGTGTGTGTGTGTCTGGGTGTGTGTGTGTGCGTGTGTGTCTGTGTGTGTGCGCGTGTGTGTGTGTGTTGTGTAGTCTATTTAATCAGCAGTAAATCTCTCAATCCCAGTTTACAGGGAAAAACACATCTGGAGATGTTGCAAAACCACATTTTATACGACTAGATGCACACACACACAAACACAAACACACACACACACACAAACTAACACACGCACAGTAATTTGAAGGCAGCCTCTCGTGCAGGGCCACAGGTGTGTATACGTTGGTCAGCTGTGTTGTGTGGTTACACATTTAGGCCGACGCCTCCTCATCAAACGCACACACAGACATCACGCCTCATTTCCAACACACACACACACACACACACACACACACACACACAAACGTCCCGTAGCGTTTTGTTTTAATAGTCTGTTAATTCTGCACAGGGGAGGAGAAAGTGAATCAGCAGAAGAAGAACCAGACAGAGGGACGCCATCACTTGCCACAACTCTCACCTTTAAGTCTATAAAACAGCTGATTATCAAAACACTCCCGTTAATGTCGCTGCCATCTGGCAAAAAAAACAAAAACAGTTATTTTCAGAGTCCTAATCTTGCGAGCTGCACACATTTTAGTAAAAGAGTGACTTCTATATTAATGCATTGACTAGAAACAAGTTCAAATATTCTGAGATCACAAGATCATTTTTATCTGCAAATAAAAAGAATAGGAAGTGATGAAAGCCATTGTTTCTGCATTCAGAGAACACGCTACTGTATTTTATGGTGCTGCTCTCGGGATATCTTGATCACCAATTTCATCTTTAAGAAAATGTCACGTGTGCCCGCAGTTTGGTGGACAGGAAGAGAACGAGAAAGTAAAATGTATTGGTCGTCTTATTTTACGTTAGTGTGCATGTGTTTGTGCACTCACCACCAGAACCCTCATAACAAGAATGTCGGTGTGTTTTCCTGTCGTGGGTCGAGGCATCAGGGCTCTCTAATGCACAAAACACATCCGTCTTTCACACACAACCTCCACAAACACACACACTTTCTTCGGTACCTCTCATTTGTTTCGATTTTTTTCCTCACCAGCGCTAATATAGCAGTTATTACATCAGTCTTACTCACGTTACTGCTTTGAAAAATACTTTTCTCGGCTTGCCATCACTTAAGTATTGTAATGCGGACTCTTTTCACTTATTTTAAAAGTGCTAAATTCAAATTCAGAGCATATCTGTTGTCTCCACGCGGCTCTCAACGCGGCGACACACTAGCCGGCCCGTCTACGTAAACAAAGCACAGAAAATCTCAGATTATAACACACAGAGAGGGGGAGGGACTTAATTCTCTGCTCAGCTGGGCATTACTCCACTACATCTGTACACAGCTAATAGTTCTTTACTGCTATATTAATGCTCTGAATTTCAAATTTAGCAGCTTTAAAGTTTTGCTCACATGTGAATGTCTGCATGATTTCTGCTGCAAGAATCCTTAAATAAACCTGAGTCACATGCTCTATCATTCTCTAGATGTAATCCACATGAAGAAAACATTTAGCAACATTAGACTACTGTTTGGCTGCCATTCCTTTAGTTTCCCCCTGCACTTCCACAGGCCGGGCCAAGTGCACAACAAGAGAGCAGTTTTTTTCTTTCTGAGCACTGTTGCGGGATATCAATGGACCTGAATGTAGCACTCTGATGTCCCCTAATCGGTTATGACAGAACTGTGTGTGTGTGTGTGTGTTTGTGTGTGTAATGAACTGAAAGGACTGGATAGAGATTCGCAGGCTCTGATCAGAGAGAGCATTGTTGTCCTCGTCAGCACACTATTCTTTCTCTTTTTCTCTCTTTCATGTTCTGAGATTCTCCACACGTGTGCGTCATATGGTTTCAATATATATGTTCTTCATGTGTGTGGCGTGTTTTCACCTCACAGAGCGAGTGTGGGTTATGAAAGGCCATTCCAGCACATTCCATACATTAATAGGATCGGTTGCATCTAAGAGGATCAGAACTTTTGGATCATGGTGGGATAGTGTACACTGTAGGAATGTGTGTGTGTGTGTGTGTGTGTGTACACTCTGTAACTCCAGGGCTATTCCTTTTCGAGCAAAGATTAAGTTCATCTCCTCTGGGACTCAAACTCTGGTTCTCACGATGATCGCCATCTCCCACACACACACTCACACACACACACACACACAGGAAGACATACATGGAGGCTAACTGACAGATGGATGCACTCACGCAGACTTCAACATGAGATACTGTAAACTGCTGTGTATGTGATGCCATCTCCAGTGAAATGCAGCAGCACATGAAACAAAAAGGTAACTACTGCTGAGCTCAAGCCAATGAAGGAACCTGATCCTCAGAGACGGTTGGGAGCATTGATGGAAATACAGTGATTTGATGGTGAAAATGAAATCATGCTCCTTTCAGCCTGTTTGGGTAACTCAGCGGTAATAAAAGTAATGGTTTCCCAGCTTGTTGCTTCTCTCTTCATCTCTCGTTGACACACACACACACACACACACACACACACACACACACACTAATCGATAACATCCCGTGTTCCTGTGCCAGCGAGCCAGTTCGCATGGATGCACAGGATGTAGCACACATAAAAAAAACGTGCTGCAAGATATTAGCAGTCAAACTTTCCTGTGATTAT